TGAAACACATTCGTACAGCATAATGATGTCAACGAGATAAAGTCAGTTGATCAAATGAAAATGCTGGCCCACAGATGGCTCCAACTTCATCCTGTTCCCTACTTGTACGTCTCATAACGAAAATGCTTTCAAATGAGCTGATGTAGGCAACAGTACTTAGCTTGCCAATAAATTTAGGAATCCTTAACCTGTAAATAGCTTGTCAATAAAGCTAGGGATCCTTAAACTTGTCAAACCCTGTGTAAAAGAGAGAGAGGGGTAGGGTAGGCTCCAAAACCTAGTGGTCCCTGGTCAAGGACAGACAAGGTTATCTGCCTGATGAACTCATTCCACCTCTAAATCGACAGGATGGGACCACCTCTACTAGTAGTCAAGAGAAGGCAGACCTCTTTGCTACCAAAATGCAAGTTCCTGATCCAGCAAGGGACCCTCCTTGGCTAGCTGCAAGAACCGTCAAAACTGTCAGTGGTGACAATAAGGCAGGAGGTGCATTTCCTTCTTAAATTGCTTGACCAAGAAAAGGCTGTGGGCCCAGACAAGTTGAGCCCAAGATTGCTGAGAAGATGTGCAGACCAGCTAGCAGCACCTCTAACTCACATCTTTCAGCACTGCCTAGTACAGTGTAAATGGCCCTCTCTGTGGAAACAGGCAAATGTAGTCCCTGTTCACAAAAAGAAGAGCAGAGCAGAAATCAACAACTACAGACCAGTGTCACTCCTGTCAATCACTGGTAAGATCCTTGAGACAATAATCTCAAGACAAATGACAGTTTTCTGACTACCACTCACTACTTTGTGATTGTCAATATGGCTTCAGGAAAGGTTACTCTGCTGCTGATCTGTTGTTAAACCTCTCCATTAAGTGGTACCAGTCACTGGATGAATCCAAAGTCAGCTGTGTGGTAGTACTGGACATTGCTGGTGCTTTCGGCTGGGTGTGGCACCAGGGCCTCTTAGCAAAACTTCAAGCACTGGGAATTGCAGGCTCTACGCTATGTCTCCTCAATGATTACCTCATGGTAGATCTCTAAGGGTAGTTCTCAATGGAACAGAATCAGCAAAACATCCTATTGGGGCAAGTGTTCCACAAGGAAGCATGCTGGGACCATTGTTATGGAATATCTACTTCAATGACCTTCTTCTCATCCCAGAATCCCATGCTTATGCAGATGACTGTACACTGACATTCACTTATCCAAGAGAAGAAATGCCAACTGCTCTAAGCTACATCAATCACCAGCTAAGAGCTATATCAACTTGGGGAAATAGATGGCAAGTAACATTTGCACCTGAGAAAATGCAAATGATGATGGTCTCTAGGCACCATGATGGTAATGCTGGTGCAGTAGTAAGGATGAATGGGAGGGTGTTGGCACGTGGAGAAGTTGATATCCTTGGGGTGAAATTTGACTCCAAACTAACCATGAAGAACCATGCTGTAAATCTTGCAAACAAGGCAGTCAGGAAGCTTACAGCACTTCGCCGTATCTCGCATCTGCTTGACAGTAAGGGTTGCAAGATTCTTTATGAGGCACAAGTATGCTCACGCCTTGAGTATGCTCCACTTTCTTGGTTTGCCTGCCCCCCCCTCTCATCTGCGACTGCTTGACAGTAGAGAACAGAGCAAGACATCTCATCTCTCACCTGGACCCATCCTGGATAGATCTTTCATTTCAGCAGAGCCTTCAACACATGAGGGATGTGGGTGGCCTTACTGTTATGTACAAGGCCAATATTGTCGAAGTACCACACTTGGATCCACTTTGAGGACAGCGTGAAACAAGCTTTTATGCCACAAGATGGGCAGAAAGCAGCAACTTCACTCTGGCTGTATACTACTCCAGAACATCACTCCATCTGAGATCACATATGCCCAGGATGACTCGAGTATGGAACACATTTGTACAGCATAATGATGTCAACGAGATAGTCAGTTGATCAAATGAAAATGCTGGCCCACAGATGGCTCCAACTTCATCCTGTTCCCTACTTCCATGTCTCATAACAATAAAAATGCTTTCATATGAGCTGATGTAGGTAACAGCTCTTAGCTTGCCAACAAAGTTAGGAATCCTTAACCTGTAAATAGCTTGTCAATAAAGCTAGGGATCCTTAACCTTGGCAAACCCTGTGAAAAAAAAAAAAAAAAGGAGAGAGGAGAGAGAGAAATCATTACCTCATATATACTATGATGCCACAACATATCTCCTGAACAAATTGAGAGAAATGGTATATACTAACAATGGACACTATCGTAAGTGAAACATTATCTATAAAGGATTACATTATCTTGACCCAGATACAACTTCGTAGCAATCCCGAGTGTTATCCACATCCACCCTCATAGCTGGAATAACTCCATAAATATGCCCTAGAAGCACAACCCACCATAGCTTCTACAACTCGCCAGAACTGCCCAGATTCTCCTTGATTAATCACATCAACCTCTTATTGTATCCTCCTCTAATTATTAGTTAACTGCTAAGTCAGGCTAAAACTAAAAAAAACCATACCTTCCAGTGAGCAAGCCAAGATCAACATTCAGGTAATCCTTGTACACCTTGCATTGTAAAATCTTAAGGTAAAACATTGGGTAGTTATTCCTTGGATTTTAATTGAAATCAGGTATTTGGTATTATGTCTTTGGAACACATCTCCAATTATAATGAGACGTTTGTGGGAAAATAGGCCGAGCTACAAACACTTCAAAAATTTATTCATTCACGTTGGGGCTCTAGTTTACATGAAAATGCTCTACTTACACGTTTTATTAAACTAAAACTTAAGGAAAAAACATCCCTTACCACTGTGCATCAAACCAAATACAGTGGACCCCCGGTATTCGATATTAATCCGTTCCTGAGAGCTCATCGAATACTGAAAATATCAAAAAGCGAATCAATTTTCCCCATAAAAAAATAATGGAAATCAAATTAATCCATGCAAGACACCCAAAAGTATGAAAAAAAAATATTTTACCACATGAAATATTAAGTTTAATGCAATAAAATAATTACAATAGCAACAATAACAATAGAATAATTGACACTTACCTTTAATGAAGATCTGGTGATGATTGATGGGATGGGAGGAGGGGAGTGTGTGGATGGTGTTAGTGTTTAGAAGGGGAATCCTCTTCCATTAGGACTTGAGGTAGCAAGTTCTTTTTCAGGGTTACTTCCCTTCTTTTAATGCCACTAGGACCAGCTTGAGAGTCACTGGACCTCTGTCGCACAACAAATCTGTCCAGAGCTCAGTACCTCCCGTTCCTTTACGATTTGTCTAAAATGGGCCACAACACTGTCATTGTAATAGTCACCAGCACGGCTTGCAATAGCTGTATTAGGGTGATTTTCATCCATAAAGGTTTGCAGTTCAACCCACTGTGCACACATTTCCTTAATTTTTGAAGTAGATACAATGGATTCCACAACTTGCATAGGCTTCTCAGGGTTAGCCCCAAACCCTTCAAAATCTTTCCTAATTTCCATACTAATTCTCACCCTTTTTACCACAGGGTTGGACTAGAAGCTTTCTTGGGGCCCATGGGGACTTATTTTGCAGAAACAAGCACAAGATGGGAAGTACAGTGCCTGCACTCTGAAGGAGGGGTGTTAATGTTGCAGTTTAAAAACTGTAGTGTAAAGCACCCTTCTGGCAAGACAGTGATGGAGTGAATGATGGTGAAAGTTTTTCTTTTTCGGGCCACCCTGCCTTGGTGGGAATCGGCCAGTGTGATAATAAAATAATAATAAAAAGCACCAAAAACGATGATAATATGGAATGTACCGAATGTATCCTTAGATGCGCGCACACTGGCTGGCTTGTAAACACTGGCACACACGGGGCAGTTCAGGCCACACGTGGACACGTCTCATACGAATCGTATCGAATACCGGGTTTTCGATCGGATACCGAGGCAAATTTTTTGCGTTAAAATGCATTGAATACCGGATTTATCAAATACCGGGGGTCCACTGTAATCCTGTATACAACTAAGGCACTGCCCCAATATAAATTGGAATATCAAGCACCCACCATTTTTACTTCAAAATTCCATATCTTCATACCTTCATATATTCAGAGGAAAACACTCACTTTTGTGCATTGGCATATTAATTATGGATCAGGATAGAGTATAATAATTAGGAATTATGCAATGTACATTTTTCACTACCCATGGAAAAAGTATTTTAAAGCGCAACATTAGATGTACATTGTAAATTTTGCCGAGACTTGCGTACACAACTGACAAAAACTGTATTGTACTCTATTTTTTCATCCCTTCCTAAAAGACAGACGACCCCCTTAAGGCCTATCATCCTTGAAACTGTTCCTTCCTAGATGCAAGGCTTTTACACAAGTCAAGCATCAACTTCAGTGTATATTTCATTAATGGTAAACACCAACTTTGGCTTTTTTAATTTTACACCAGAGCAAAAATTCAACTAACAATAGTGTGGTACCAATTCAGTTTTACAATCCGGTATTTTTATATCGTTTACCAAACAATTCATAGTACCATTTCTGACCACTAATTTCAACACAGTATCGAAAAATTATCTTCATGTAATATGTGCACCACTCATGTAATAAACATAATTTACATATACCAACTCTTCATTTCTCGTCAGTTCCCATTGTTACATTGGGATACCAATAACCTGTCAGAAAAACTAAAAATGTATTAAAATATCGGGAAATTGTACAAACTTCTAAAAAAAAAAAAAAATTGTATACCACATATGCAACCCATTTGAATTTCCTCAAGTTTCATTTCCTTTAGTGACCTCTAACCAAATTCATCTTGACCTTTATTTTAAACACACACCATACCAATGGTTTGTATGCACTTTAGACAGTACTCCAGGTTTTACCCCTAACAAGATTTCACAGTGCAACCATCATGATGTTAATTCCTCAGTTGAAATCTGAATTCTAAGAACAAAACTATTTAGACTAGCAACACCCTCTAAGTGGCCTAGTGGTGGTTTAACTTACCTATGAGTGGGGGCTGACGGCTGGTTCTTGGGATGCCCGTGCATGCCACCAAAGCCTGGAGGGGCAGACTGGGGGGGAGGAGCCATGCCTAGACCACCTTGAAAAGTTCAGCAGTCTGCATTAGTACACAGTAATGCTGGCCCACAACCTCAGGGCTCAACCTTTTGAGTGACTAGCAACTTCTCGTCTCAACGGCCTCATTGACAATCCAAAACCAAACAATGAAACAGCTGCATGGATGGATAGATTGTACTATTTTATATTACTTTATTAGTGTTCAATACAATCTTCCAAACAATGAACAATGCAAGATTTCTAATGTATTGCCTGATAAACACATGCAACATGTGACTGGCAGCAGATTTTAATTAAATTTAAGATGATTCTAAAATCTAATTGCTAGCAGTACCTTTTCATATGTTCCATGTGCCCATTTGTGTCTAATAATGATTTTTGTCAACAGAAGAATGAATATCATTCATATACTGAAGTCCATAATGATGTCAAGTCAAGTATCAGTCTGTCTGTGCCAGATTCCTGAAAAGTATTAAAATGAAAAAAAAAAAAAAAAAAAAAAAGGGGGGAGGGGGAGAAAATAAATAAATAAATGAGGAAGACTTACTGTTAAATCCGCCACCTTGGCCACCATAATTTCCATTTGATGGTGGTGGTGGTGCACCGTAGTTAGGGCCCTGGGGTCCCCCATAACTTCCCCCTGATGGCGGACCCCCATAGTTCCCCTGTGGAGGAGGGCCTCCATAGTTTCCTTGGGGCTGAAGGGCTGAGTAGCTAGCACTGGGCTGACTACCATAGGTACTGGCTTGTCCACCATAGGTGTTGGCTGGTGGTTGACCATAGCTTCCAGACTGGTAGTTACTATTCTGTTCATACCCTTGTGACTGTCCACCATAACTGCTGTATCCTCCACTGCCTGCTGCAGGCTGAACTGGCGGCTGTGTCTGCTGCTGCATCCCATATCCACTGTATGAGCTCCCATGGCCACCTGGTAGTAGTATCTTAACCTCAGTCATTCTTTCCCCTCTTCTATGCAAATCTCATCACATATTCACTCCTACTTCATGAGGACCACATATTTATACCTTATGTTCAGATTACTGTGGAACTTTGAGACACTTGTCCCACAGATTTACAGTATTCTGATAATCATGATCTGAAACAGGAAAAGGAAATGCATGGGGTCTACAACACATGCAAATTACTCACTCTGTGGAGGGGGAGCACCATAGGAGGGTGGTGCTGCATAAGGAGCCTGGCTTTGAGAATAACTCTGAGGAGGTGGTGCAGAATATCCACCATACTGCGGTTGTGTGTATGAAGAAGCTGGAGGAGGGGCAGTTCCTGAAGCATTGCTGTAACCCCCATAGCTGCTTGCACCACCACCACTACTACCGCCACCACTCGCATATCCTCCACTATAACTATATTCTGGAAGATCAGTTGTTTCTGTCAGGGAGTTTCAGAAGGATAAAGTTAAAAGTATCTGAATTTGGACTTACAAAAAATAACTACAAACTAATAGTGAGATGTTACACTAAAGTAATCTGGATATTTTTTTTTTATTTAAAGGTTAGTAATTTTTTTCCCTAAGTTAAAGAGAATATATAACTAAAATCAATATTTCTCCAATAACGACTCGAGTGTACATTTTATCAATCGTACAAATATTTGCCACATATGGCAAATTAATTTTTTTTTTCCACAGGTTAGGTTAGGTTAGGTAAGGTTCGTCAGGAAACAGGACAAATATTTCCTGACGCGGGTCTTAGTCAGATGATGACTCGCCTTTGGAGCTTTTGGTCATCTGACCGAGGCCTTCCGCTGGCTTACCGGTCCACCCCTTTAAAAATTATGGTCATTTATAACCATTGTCTGTTTTTTTTTATAATTTTTTTTTTCCACAATTTCATGGCAACACAGACCCCCCTTCCCCCCAAGCACAAAGTTTTCTGAAACATTTTATGAACACAAGGGTTCCAATATTCCACATGTTAGACTCGCCCTAAGTAGAAACTATGCAACTAAACGGCTAAGAACCATAGAACTATCAGACGATTCTGTCTGAACTAAAAAATGATGCAAATTTAATTAAATATAAATTTCTATTCCCAATAATTATTACAACACACTCAACAGTTTATCAATCTCACTAACATCAACTGTTTTGGGCTTTTTTACTTTAATCATTACATATATATAAATTTATCTTCCAACAACTTAATAATTTCTCAATACAAGTCAATAACCTAAATTAAAATTAAAACTAAAATGTATTGATAAGGCCCTTGTGCTCCAAGATTTAACATTAAAAAATGCAGTTTTTCTATACACGACTACCCCTGAGAAATTCCAAGCTAATACAAGTTTCCAATATACATATTCACTTTGATAAAGCACACAAGCTTCAGTTTGCCCTGCATTTCCATACCTCTTAAGACTTATTTTTACCAAGGCAATTTTTAATTTATTAGCAAATCTTGATCATTGTGTAAGCAATGCGATAAAATAAAATAAAAAAATTATACTTTATTTCCTCCTGTGTGATTAGGGTGCAATATTAACGACTCCCAAGTTATGTATAGAGTGGAGACAACTGATCCTTGGAATTTAACATGCTATTTAAGCGTGAGGAAGATTAAATCTAGTAAAAAGTCAAAAGTAAAGGGCTTGCATTCAAAAGGATGGGATGTGGTTCAGAGGATTGCCTGAAATGTGATACTGTAAATCTGAAAATCTAGAAAATTAGAGAAAGTGATGGTGGAAGTGTTCAACTCAAGCCATGGGTCTTAAAGGATATTTTAGACCTGTCCTGTAGCTGTATGGCTAATTCTGGGCATCCAATTCCACTGTCTACATTTAAAAGGGGCAGTGTTACAATTAATATCCCATTCAACAAGCTAAGAGTGCCAATTTTTGAAGTTAAAACATGGTCAACAGAAAAATGAAGCTAAAAAGGGTTGAAGTAGCAGGACAGAAGTCAGGTCTAACCCCCCACATATTACAGTACCCATAACATATACATGTACATAATATGGGAAACTCAAATTGTTACTTATCAAATACAACAATAAAAGTAAGGCAGAACTGGCAACCCAGCTGCTGGTTGCAACTTCACCACCCCATTATGTGCACAAACAAACAATCAATGTACATCTACATCAATGTCAGAAGATTTACTTCAAAATGTTGTGGGATTCGGGTACTAAGTATACCATATTCACCGAAAATGCAAATGGCTTTGATATGCTTGCAATCATGTTATTAACAAATAAGAGGAAGGACAAAAGTTAAGTTGGGGACTTAAGAGGCTATACAAGAATGTAAGAATAGTGGAGCATCAAGGTATTCTTACTGGCTCATGCAAAGCACATCCAACTGTACTTGTGTACCTGTCTAATCTATGCACTTGGCCAAAGACTGGGCTCCAGGAGCCAAAAAAAGCTCTCGAAACTAAGAAACATCAAAGGTAAAGGCAACTTATTTTGGGTTACCCACGTTCTAGCTTCAGCAATGCTACACATTTAAAACTGTATTGTCAAACCAGTGCTTTCCTATACTCTATCTAAATTTGTCAACTTAAATCCACTGCTAAGAGTCCAGTCATGGTTAGACATTTTCATCACATTATTTATAGCCTCTTATTTATTCTGGTGCTCCATTTGTACAGAGGTCTTTAATTATGTCTCCTTTTCATCTGTAACTTCAGTCATATCCCCCACTAATTCAACATGGTCCATTCTACCAAATTCTTAAGCTTTTGCTAGAATGCCTTCAGTTTCATCGATTAAACACAAAAAACCACCCATCAAATTTTGTACTTAGTGTCATTACCTTTAGAAAAATTCTCTACCATTTCAAAGGAATTAAAAAAAAAAAAAGTGGACAGCAATATTAACCCTTTGAGGGTCCGTGCTGTAGTTCTAAGGCTTTGAAGCCAGGGTCCATGCCATAGTACTATGTCACGAGCTCAGTTCACTCATAGGCTGTGAGTGGTAAATTTGGGCATAGATATGAGAGAATGCATCTGTGGAGTAAGTGTGCACTATATAAAACAAATCCTGCAGCATGCAGTGCATGAGGAAAACTGACCAATGTTTTAGAATTAAAACAGCGAGTTTGGTGTATTTTCGTATGATTTTTATGGTTGCATTTGCCGTTTCTTTGTCTCATTTTATAGAATGGGAGATATACAGGTCTCCCTCAACGTTCACGTTTTCAACTTTCACAGGCTTCACACATTCGCGAATTCCCAACTGCCAAATCATATTTAAGTTTCCCGCCACCTGCGAGTCCCTACTACCCTCCCTCCGACCCCCGCAACTGGCAGCCAGCCCTCCCACCACTCAGTGTGGTGAGTGTTTTGTTTGTTCATTATTTGCTATTAAACTACAGTATAAATAATGTAAACCCATTCATGACTGCATATTGGAATGGCTATTCGGACAGGTATTAGACAGTGACATGTGTTTACTCTTGAACACTGCAAAGAATTAAACATTTCTGCTCAAGCTAATAATAACAATAGTAATAATAATAATAATAATAATAATAATAATAATATGATATAATTGAAGAAGGAAATTGTACAAAAATACGAGGGAGTGGTTGGCACATCATCAGTGTGACTTTGTTTATGTAAAGTAAAAGGACACAAGTGCAACTAGTGTGACATTTATTGTGGCAACGTTTCGCTCTCCAGGAGCTTTATCAAGCCATGAATGTAATGGCTTGATAAAGCTCCTGGAGAGCGAAACGTTGCCACAATAAATGTCACATTAGTTGCACTTGTGTCCTTTTACTTTACATATTGTCGGTAATTCTATCAACTTTATTACGACTTTGTTTATGCTGGAGTGAACGTTAAGTCTCCCTGCTCTTCCAAACCTTTCACAATAATTCATTGTGTTTGGTGCTTGTAGATTGAGTGTGACTGGAGTGGTAGAGGCAGTGATTGAGGCAATGGTATTTAATAACATACATGTTAATAATAATACATGTTATTAATAATATGTACTATTATTATTTATAACATATATGTTATTAAATACATACATGTTAATAATAATACATGTTATTAATAATAACATGTACTATTATTTATAACATATATGTTAAATACCACTGCCTCAACCACTCAATTATTGTGAAATGTTTGGAAGAGCAGGGAGACTAATATTCACTCCAGCATAAACAATGTCACACTGACGATGTGTCAACCACTCCCTCGTATTTTTGTACAATTTCCTTCTTCAATTATATCGTATTTATTATTATTATTATTACTATTGTTATTATTAGCAATAGCAGAAATGTTAGATTCTTTGCTGTGTTCAAGAGTAAACACATGATGTCACCGTCTAATACCTTTCCTAATAGCCATTCCAATATGCAGTCATGAATGGGTTTACATTATTTATTCTGTAGTTTAATAGCAGATAATGAACAAACAAAACACTCACCACACTGAGTGGTGGGAGGGCTGGCTGCCAGTTGCGGGGGTCGGAGGGAGGGTAGTAGGGACTGGCAGTGGTGGAGGCAGTGGGAGTCTGTGGTATTTAATAACATACGTTATTAACATACATGTTATTAAATAACATACGTTATTAAAGCATAACATATATATATTTAGTACAATTTACGACGTTTTCATGTACAGTATTTTATGATTATTCATGGTTCAACAAGTTAAGGAAGCTGTATTGTAATATATTTCCCTACAATATATTGGGGCACCAAACATTCACGGTTTTTCAACATTCGCGAGGCTCTTGATCCCCTAACCCTCGCGAATGTTGAGGGAGACCTGTATTACAGAAATAGAGATGACTGTGATTGGCTTTAGTGCTGAAAATAGCTTGAAACCGAGCTCAAAGCAGCGAAAATGTTTGAATTTTGCCGATGTTCAAGAGTAAACAAATCACACCATGCATCCAGTACGCGTTAGTTGGTGGGTCTAATGTGCCTTCACGAATACACTTATATTATTCAAAGAATTATTGCAATATTGCATAATGAACTATTTTTTGGTGCAAATAATTTTTTTGGGAAAATATCAAAATGAAATTCACAACAAATACTACGTGACACTGTTGATATCCATTCACCAGAAATTGGCCTGATGACACTGGAGGACAGAAGGGTTAGGGGAGACATGATAACATACAAAATACTGCAAGGAATTGACGAAGTGGACAGCGACAGGATGTTCCAGAGATGGGACATAGAAACAAGGAATCAGAATTAGAAGCTGAAGACTCAGACAAGTCAGATGTCAGGAAGTACAATGGAACCTCCACTAACAAGTTTAGTCCATTCTGTGACCTTGCTCGCAACTGGATTT